AGATATCCTTCTATCGTAGATAATTCTATCTGAAATACTGTCAAGTATTAAATATGACCACCTCTTCTAATAGAAATTTAAACTTTGATTTTCTGCATTGTGAGAGACTAGCTCCTTTTGCTAGAGTCAACTCTTGTTGTTAATGTTGTTTTACTTAATTTAAATTTGACATTTACCCCACTTTCAATTGACATTTTTATATTAATATGCTTCTTATATTGATAAAGGTCAAAAGGGGGACGCATTTATTACGGAGGACATGAGATAAAATGACCAGATCGCGTGAACCAAATTATTTTTTTAATGAAAAATGTCAATTTCCACTTTGTAAGTATTTTATTTTAAAAATATGCTTGTGCGGTGTGGTCAAGTCATTTTCGAATATAAAAAGGAAAAATTTTGTTTGAGGATTACAGTATAGAATTAATTTCAAAGAGCCCCCAAAACTTTCTGAAACTTCACTACAGAACCAAGAGGGCAAACTGATATTAATTCCACAAAGAAAATGACATTATTGCCCCTCATATGAATAAGTATGGGAGAAACCATTTGCAAGTGAGACTAGACAATTTGTAACATACAAATATATATATTTATAACTGGAATTAGTCCGTTTACATGTCACCTCCTTCACCTGAAGAAGGTGTCCATAAGTGAACAAGTATGAGAGAGCTCATTTATAAGTGAGACTAGACAATTTGTAACATACATACATTTATTTACAATTAAAATTAGTTTACATGTCACTTTCTTCACCTAAAGAACGTATTCGTGAGTGAACAAGTGTAAGAGAGCCTATTTGCAATTGGGACTAGTCAATTTGCAACATACATATCTTTATTTACAACTAGAATTAGTCCATTTACATGTCACCCCGCAATAAGTATTATGAGGGGTAATAGCATCATTTTCTTTGTGGAATTAATATCAGTTTTCCCCTTTGGTCTTGCAGTGAAGTCTTAGAAAGTTTTGAGGGCTCTTTGAAATTAATTCTGTACTGTGGTCCTTAAATGAAATTTATCCATTATATTGTTAGCCTGAATTCTAGGATCCCATTTAGCATATCTAGTTCATTGCATGGGTGTGAATTAGTATTTCTTCATATAATATGAAAAGTTCAATCAATGTATAATGATTAGTTAAATTAGTTAAATTCACATATACATGTGTGTATATATGCTTTTGTCACCAAAAAAGCAAATTCATATATATGCTCAAGATATAGGATTATAAAAAGTTTTTTTTGTAAGTAATGTTGAAGTTTTTTTTTTTGTGAAGTTTCTATCATTTAAGATCATTGTTTTCAAAATATTCAGAACATCATTGCTCCTAAATGTTGTATATGCTCTTATAATATGTTTTGCTAATATAATCATAATTAACCATATGTAATTGCAAAGACCAATTCACTTCACTTATAATATTGTTATGTATAAACATGCGTGGAAGACCAAGTATCCACTTTTATATATATATTTATATAGTAATTTAATTTTTAGATTTTTCTCAATTTGAGATTTAAAATACGCCCATGTAATTTAATTTGATAACTACTATCAACAATATAAATTAGAAATCATTATTGGATGGGACCTGTGTTCATTTTTTTTTAGTTATCGCTTCCGATTCTAAATATAAGATCCAACACGTATATTTAAAATAAAAATGAGACCACAAAATATAGTTATTTGATTTTTAGGTTTTTCTTAATTTAAAATTTAAAATATTTATTTAAGATTTTTATTCTAAATCTAAAATGTAAAATAAATGTTAAATATTTTAGTTGTAAATATAATAATGAATTTTAAGCATTAAAAATTTGAAGAAACAACACTGCATGCAACTCTTTTTAAATTCTATTAACTTATTTTTCCCTAACTATCAATAAGTATATTTTATGATAAAAATAATGCTATAATATCTTAAAGGCACTAATTTATTAGCTAATTCCTCAAAAATAAAATGAAAACCAGATCAGGAATAATTAATTATTAAAAAAAAGTTAGTGTTGGCTGGGTCAAAAATTACAACATGACATGACCTAGTATCATCCAGTATTGCACAGTCCACCATGAACCTGACGATAAAATATCGGTACTGTATAAAATAATAAATATTTTTGTATTAAACTCCAACCACCAGAAGAGATATATCTCATTAATATTACCTGGGAAAAAATTAGTGTTGGTTCGGAATATCGTAAACAAAGTTGGCAATGGACCAATTGATCAATTTGCTCAGTTTTTTGTTTGCTACTAATAAACTAATTTAAATACATGGTAATTATCTTATTAGATGCAATTTTTTCTCTATTTGTTTTTTCTCTTTTTTTGACATCGTTATCACAAACACCCTACCTTATTAAGTCGGAATTTATTAAATTGTCGGTGAGCCTAGAACAAACTTGGCATTTGAGATGTTGGTAGATTTAGCTATTTTTAAATTTACTCACAACACAAGTGGATAATTGCTCCCCAAAAAAAAACACGAAGTCCTACAAGTGGATAATACAAATAAATACATCTGTCATGCATCCTAACTATATGTATTAAATTTTTATTAATAGTTTACTTTTTTTTTTTAAAGTTTGTATAAGCATCTCAATAGACCAAAGGGGGAAAAAAAAGGAAGTTACATCATCATCATATATGTTATTTATAATGACGAGCAGGTAAAAAAAATTATATAAAATGTTGCATAAATGACAAAATGGACGAAATATGCATTATATTTTTCTTAATGGTTCTAGGACGAAATATAAATTATATAATCTAAACAGATAAGTATGAAATGAAACAAAAAAAATTATTTGACCATAATAAAAAGCATAATTGTCTTCAGGAACCCAGCCAACACACACAATAATTGGAAATAAATACATAACCTAAAAACAGATGAAAAACACCAAATTAGGAATAGGAGTTAGAACTGAAATTAACATCAAGGCATAAAGTTCAAAAGCATCTATTCAAGCTTGTTCTTCCCAAATTTGTTTGCCTTTTGCTCTGTGGCATCTTGCAAATGATGTGTTATTTTCATCAACTTCAAGATTTTCACCTGGTGAATGATTTAACATATTTTTAGTAACATTCTTCACTGCATTAAGTCCAAATGTAGTAGAAGGGATTTCTATGAAACCAGCATTGTGCTTGCTACTCTCTACCTCAGCCTAATAGTCAGCTGAAGGGAAATTACCAGATGGATTTACCTTCTCAATGTTGGCAGTGTTTACAATTGGAACTTCAGATTCTACTATGGACTTCATTGCTTCAAAACTTAGGCTTGTAGCAGATACCATTTGGTGTGCAAAGGTTGAGTCAAACTTTGATCATTCAGGGAAATTTACATGCACAGTTTGATTAGGAGAAGAACTTGCATCATCAAATGATTCTACTAGGCACTGCTCAGCGTTTTGCACAAACACAAAGACTTAGGTGCACAGAAACATGTATATATTTGTGATATGCATCCAAGACATAAATAAAATAATACAATGGAAAATGAAACAGCTATACCTTTTCTTCTGTGAGACCAATGGAAGTGTGATCCTCTGATCCAGCATCCGAGTATAGTCCATAATCAAACCACGCAAACCTTGATTCTCCAGTTTTGACTGCATTGGTTAATAGCACGAACTGAATTGAACGCAGGAGCCATGTGAACACTTGGAAAAAACGGATGGTGCAATAACAACAGGAGTAATTTACTTACAGGAATAAATCTATAGGCTCCCACTATTTAGATAGCCAAAAATTCATCTACGGTTACGACAAGAAAATGAATATTATTAGCAATACATGCGTGTATAACTCCTAAACATGTGATATATACATGACACGATCTTAAAACATGTAATTCAAATACGTTGATCTATGTAAAGCCCGCTGCATAAATTTCTATATTTTGTGACCCATGATATATTTTGTCCGTAATAAAATTCTAGAGGTCGAAATTAATAATTAATACACTATAAAATTAAAACAGATAACTTGATGGCAAGTAAATGCATAGCATATGTTTAATTATAGCAATTCTTTTTTAAATGTATCCAGTTCACGTTTATATTAATCAAGGTGGAATGGTTTAGTGAAAATTTCATACTTTTATATTATTAATTGGGCTAAATCAATTTTTTTTAAGTTACCACCAACCACAATTTTTAGAAAAACCTAGCTAAATCAAAATATTTAGGAACAAAACCTGGGGTAACTGAAATCTGCAGTTAATAAACAAATATTAGCTTATTTATTAAATTGCAAAAGAGATGGCTCCTTATTTAAAAATGATTAAAAAAATTAAGGTATTTATCTCTCTCTTCATTGTGCCACTTGTTGCACTTCTGGATAGCCTTACGGAGACCCTTCCCTAGAATAATAATAGATAGATAGATTATTTATTTAACTGTTATATTAATGAGTCATGGGGGAGTATAATTAATATTAGTATACATGTCAAATTGATATAAATTATAGTCCTCTAATCCTTAATATAAGACCTAATTATTAAGTTGATTTTGGTTTTAATATAAGACCTATTTCTAATATTTATCAATTTTTTTTAAATTATCCCTATTGATACTCCCTCAACCAAAATTAAGGAAGATAATTATAGTATTTGAAGAAAAACATATCATATTTTTTATAATTAGCTAACTTACCTAACTTACTTAATCTAATTAACTTAGTTAAATAGGTCTTATATTAAGGATAAGAGGAATAATATTTATAAGGAGATGCACTTTTAAAATTTAAAAAAATTCAAAATATATTACATAGGTGATTAATAAATACATACATAATAAGGATTGTCAGAACCGAATCCGACCATTATTATTCATACATAACACTTTTGATTTGTCAATAATTATAAGCTATATATATATATATATATATATATATATGGACAACTCCCCTTATTGTACATGGATTTTTATTATCGAAATTCAAAGTAAAACATTATAAATATTTAAATATATAGAAGGGAAGAGAGAGAGAGAGTAATTAATAAGATTGAGCAAGGAGGTATCGGAGGTGGTGGATGAGTACGCCAAAGTAGTCTTGGCTTCCAATGAGATTCAAACGAACATAACGGTCGTCGGCACTGTACATACTTCCCGGATGGCCATTTATTTTTGCTGCTTTCAGAACTGCATGGCAATCTTTATCTTCTTCCCTCTCACACTTCAACCATGCATATGCTGTCATATACATACAGACATATATAACATTATTGTATTCAAATTATTATACATGTTGAGACTATTATTCCTTTCTTAATTTCAAGTCCACCAAACAAAGTTTAAAATTTCTTATTCTACTTATACAAGGATTCAATCAAGTATAAATTAGGATGTTCATCGTGGGTCAAGTCCGGTCAAGTTGAAGGGTTGGGTCACAATACTCCCACAGTCCTTAATGTAGGATCCAATGGGAGAGTTTATGTTAATTCTATATGTAAGATATATTTTACATGTTTATCGATTTTTTTCAAATTAACCCTGTTGATATATTATCCCAACAATAATCAAGTAGGAGGAAGGGAGGGAGGGAATTAAAGAAGATGATTAGGATGTTTTAAAAAATACATATCATATTAACTAATTTACCTAACATTCTTAATTAATCTATTAAAATTGGTTAATTAGATCTCACATTAAGGATAAGAGGAGTACTTCAACAACCTATATAGTGCTTAGGCCATTTGGATATTTTACCCTAATCAAACCTAATTCTTATTTATATTTAAGAAAAATTAATTTGTAAGTCCTTGCAGTTTCATCTGATTAAAAATTCAATGAAACTACAAGGACATGATTAAAAAGAAAAAAAATCTATGGGGACCTGATTTGAAGAATTGAAAAAAGAAAACAATGTTGAGGGTACTAAATAATCATGAAGTTACCCTCTTCAAACTGTGACCGTCAAATGGAAATTTATAAAAGTAAAATCAATATTAATATATCCATAAAATTAATTTCTAAGTGTTATTATATATTCACCCCAGTGCATCTCAAGTTCTCTATAAACGAATGGGATCCCACCAGTTTAGTCCTATAAATAAAGCAATGCAAATTGATGATTAGTTATTACCTGGCGTAGGGTTCCTAACCCTTTTGAAAAAGGAGCAGTAATGGGGAGTTAATTTCTGCAGAGAAAATCGTTTTGAGTTGGACAAGATCTTTCTTAGCACTATCCATCGCTTTCTCATTGTTGAATATCCAAACTTGAATATTTCTGTGCCGTCTCCTTCTTCAAGAAGTACATCAAGAAGCTTCAAAGCTCTCAGCTGAGATTCTCGAGAGACTCCAACGGTGTTTAAGTCCAAATATGTTAGCATCTTTTGGTACACAGCCTTGTCCTTCACCAATGCCCACCTACGTATGAGATATCCATATCACAAAGCAGTGAAGATTAATGTTCTAAATAAAACATGTTATATCATGAAACATGATTATCATGAAGGTCCTCATTATATAGGATACGATGGAGTAAATATTTGTAATAAAAATGGTCTGTGTTAAGAAATGACTATAGAGATATAATAGATACTCCCTCCACTCCTAAATGTACATGGAGGCTAGATATAACTAGTTTATAAATATTAAAAAAATGACTTCTATGTTATTTCCCTAATAGCGTCCTCTTTAATCATTTGTATTGGAAATTCATCTCTTGATGGAAAACTCCCTTAATATATGTAATTAATAGGGAGGGTTTAGAAAAAAAAAACTATAAATTTGAGGGGCAAAATATATTGAAATTTTATGGTTAAAATCCAAACAAACATATCTACTGGCTATTATATCTAGGATAGGATATACATTTCACATGTCATGTAAACATATATATTCAATTTTTTGTTGAGTCTAACCAAATAGGGCTTAAAGGAGGGAAGTCAAGTCCAAAAAAATTTAACTTTCATATTTCGTGTGTATGTAAGAAATCTAAAGGATCTAGATAAATTCTAAAATGATATTTATATATACTACTACGGGAAAGGTTTTGACGTCAGTACGACAGAAAAAGCTTTTCATGCCGGTTATATTAGAGTAGGGTAGTTCATACTTCCCCATTGCTCGTCCCAAATGGATTCTAATAATGTTTTGGAGTATGCATGTATCAGTATATACAGAAATGGGACCCAAATAATAAGCTATTATTATTGTTACCCAAATCTAGAGCCCGCATGGCCAGTGAGCTTGGACATTGTGAAGATCATGAGTTCATGATCAGAAGAAGCAGGAATAGGAGTGAAGTGTGGCCAATAATAAGCATGATCATAAATTGTCTTAACATTTGATCCATGAAGAGCAGCCTTCATCAATCCTCCATCTGGGCTGTTTGGTGAGGTTACGAACTCAATGAATCTGCTGATATTATTGTTTTCTGACAAAGTCTTATTCTTCCACAAAGATGTGTCGCCTTCATATCTGTAGTCCAATGAATTAAAAAGCTCCGTTTGTTGTCTATAGACCTGTCAATTTTAATTTCAGTATATGATTCATCATCAAAAGACAAGTATCTTTTAGGACCGGAGTTAGCATAAGACAAGTAGTGAAGGAGTTGTAGAGCTCACAGGGTAATATGGGGCTGTGGCAACCACTTTGGCAGGAGAATAATGCGAAGAAGAAGAAGAATTGGGAGAGAAGGCAAAAACGGCAGCATTGAGGAGTTGAGTAGAACCAGCCCCAAATACAATGAACCTTCCATCAGTCTCTGCGTTCCCAACCATTTTATGCAATCTTTGAATGTACTTCACAAGCACTTCTGAGATGTAAGTTCCATCACTATACGTATATCCCATTCTGTGCCAACCTGATATTAATATTGCACTCTCTTTTGCTCGTCTCATCCAGAATGGCTCCAAGAAAAGTGGATCCCCACTGCACCACACAAACTCAAAAACTTAGTCTTGCATAGGAGGAAGTTTTTTCTTCTAATATTTTTTCCTCCCTAATTGCCTTCTTATCCAAAGGAGGAGTTAATGTCTTGTATTGACCATGATTGATTCATTTCATGAATCAATTTTAATATCAATATATATAATCATCTGTATTATTTATAAGTCATAAGTATTATGGCTGATATATTTACACTCTACACTATGTGCTGTGTCAAAGCTACCTAGTTAAATTGAAAAACAAGCATTTCTATCTTGTCAAAAACAAAATCCTATAATTAAGTAGCATGCAGCATGAAGTATTTTTCCAATAGTACTTGACATTCTATACTAATTTTTAGTGCATTTAGCATCTTAAAATATTTTCTCTAATTTAACCTAGCATCTTAAAGTAAGTCTTGGTGCCTCTAGCTATTGAAAAAGTATCTTAGCGTGTTTTAGGCACCAAAATTATTGTAAGATATTTTGTGTTATTAAAAAAACTTAGAGATATAAATGTAACAAAAATTAATTTAGGATACTAAATGTTACTGAAAATAATACTTCAAGGTGTTGAATGCAACTTATAAAACCAATTTAAAAAGTTATTAGAGTATTAATGTAAATGAGCATTTTGGCCAATAATTCAACCTGTTGCATATAGAAACAAGATGCCAACATGGACACACAGTCACACTAAAAAATATTCAGTTCCTTCTTAATCCAAATTAAAATTTAATGAAATATAGTAGTGTAGTGATTAAGAAAGACCTTTTATATTAACAATTCATCTAAAGATCTGGTTGTTCATATAACACAAAAACATCATCCAATTATATAGCTGACTCCTACATAACTAGCTAGTGAGGTAAGGTCTTGTTGTATGGTACTGAAATTAGAAAGGATCGTCTTTCTAGTATATAAATAAAATGCTATCCTCAATGTCCATGCCATATCCAATAAGTTCAAAAGATTTTAAATTGGATGTAATAGAGATGAGAGATTTGAACCTTTCAGCATTTGCAGAGCAATTGAGTTGAATCTTGGAGCAAGTAGGGCCATAAAAGCAAGGATTACAGTCACAAAGAGGCAAGTGATGATGGCCTTTGAGGACCAAACCATCCAAGTAGGCTCTTCCATGTCCAGAACATCCTATGCCTGCCACAACCTCTGCTTCTTTTGCTGCCTCCTTTGTCCATGTCGGCTTCCATAATATCTCTCCACAAACCAACAGATTTGAAGAACAAGAAGACAACATAATCATGGCTGTAACCATAATCCATGAAATCTCCATTGATGGATTTCTTGGCTTCCTTGCCATTATCTCGTTTAGAATAATTTAAGGAATATTGATATTGCAACTTCCTTTTCGCATGCCATGCATATTTATATGGTTTTGGCTATGCATTGCTGTGTGTTGGAATCAGTTTTGATGCTCATCAAACTTTAATTGTTCAAATTGAATACGAATAGTTGAGATTTAATTTTTTTTATATATATTTGGTTTTCAAGAAATGTTTCCCTTTACGAGGTAGATAATCCAAAATAAATATATTCTTTTAATGGTAAATTTTTTAAGAAATAATTTTTATTTAAAAATTATTAGTTAAAAATTTTAAATCGAGACCATTAAAACTGTATTAAAATAGTGTAGATTTCACCGCAGTAATGAATATCATGGTACTTATCATTGTAATCAGCACCAAAATTAGTCCTACTGTGTGTTTGAGAAATAAATTATATCTTTCATCTGTATTGTTTATTTTTCCTTTTGAATTGTATATCTTTTTTTATTTTATGCTGATTTATCATATAACTGTTTATAAATAAGGATAAAATCTATAAAAATTTTACAAATTTTTTATCAATTGCATATAACTTTTCTGGTATTTTAAATTTTAAATTTAATCTTGACCTTTTAATTTTTGATATTAAGTGCCCTGTCTATAATTTTGCTGTTAAGTTACAACTATTGCGTTAGATTAATGAAAATGATATGGCATTATACATGACATCCTACATGATATCTATGAGTTAATAATTTTATGATAATTATAAGCAAAGCCTCGTCCCTTTGTGTCTCCTTGTAATAGGCTACTGCGATTTTCAATTTCTTTTTCAAGAAAAAGCCTTTGAAGAATTGAAAGCCCATTTCAATAAAATAAAATTAAAAAAAAAAAAGGCATTTGTTCACTTGTCCGTTTGACATTTTAATCATGGTTTTTTCCGGACTGAAAATCGTGCCCTGCCATAAGGAGGCACAACGGGACGAGGTTTTTTTGTCATAATAAAATGATATTTTAACCATTACGTGAAAAATATATGATTCTTATAAAATTATTCTATCATGCAAATGTCACTTTTGGGTTTTTAAAATTTTAAGCACACACGCAGCACCGAAATAAAAACAAAAATTTTGCCAAAAATTCCCCTAAAGGATCAATTGGCTTTGCTTAAATGGAACCAATTAAAGAAAGGGAGACTTCTCATTTTGCGTTCAAGATCCAATTTTTATGTCTCTGTATGGTAGCTCAGATCACAGGTTCTGCTTCTCAAATGAACACCCTCCACCAGTATCCCCATGAATGGCACAAATATTTTCTTTTTGTGATTTAAGCCACACAAAAAAAACTCCATCCATTTTAATAATTTTAACCTTTTTTATGCTTTAATTTTGGACATTAAGCTCCTGGAATTAATTTTGATAAAAAATTTCGCGTCAGATTAATGAAAATGATATGGCATTGCTCGTTACATCCTAAATGATTTGTATATGAATTAATAATTTTATGATAATTATATGTTTTTACAGAGGTCAAAATATATCATTTTATCATTAAGAAAAACAAACCCTCGTCCCTTGTCATCTCCTTTTGATAGGCTAACACGATTTTTAATTTCTTTTTTGAAAAAAGCCTTTGAAGAATTGAAAGTCCATTTAAATGGAAAAGGTTTTTGTTCACCTATCCATTTCACATTTTAAATTATGGTTCTTTTAGAATTGAAAACCGCTCTATCTTGCCTTAAGGAGGCACAAATTGCCGGGGTTTCTTAATAATAAAATGACATTTTAATCTTTATGCAAAAAATATATAATTATTATAAATTTATTATATCATGCAGACGTTGCTATGGGTTTTATTTAGGGCACACACAAAGCGGAATAAAAATAAAAATATTGTCAAAACCCTCCAAAGGAACTTGGCTTTCTTAAGTCAAACTAGAGAAAAAGGATATTTACCAATTTGAATTCAAGATCCAGTCTTTAAGTTTGTGTTTATAAGTAATTGTGTTATTCACCATAGGCAAGTTGTAAATTAAAATAGGATGAAATTGGATCCAGCACTACCATGATATTATTTCTTAGATACATCTAATACATTGATCTTATTTATAGCACATCTAGCATCTTAATCTTATTTATAGTGCATTCAGTATTCTAAAACATAAATAAGATTAGAGTACTGAATGTAACTAAGAAAAATAACATCAAGGTACTAGATGTACTAGAAAAATAACATCAAGAAGCTGGGTGCATTATAAATAAAATTAAGGTGTTGGATGCTACTTTATCAATTAAAATAATATAATATGATAACTTGCAAGTCTTCCTTCAAATTTTATATATGAATTAATCCTCCTTCAAAACGTTAGTTTGCTCTTTTACTTGGATAAAAAATAACGATAGCGCCCCTTATTAATATTTAAAAGGGTGATATTATTTTGTGATCTTTAGCTTTGAAGTGACTAGTGCAACTAAAAAATTTCAAATGAAAATGTATCTTAACCCTTCAAGCAATTCATCGATTCACTGATTTTACAGGCTAAATTGATTTTGAACTAGTTCCCGAATTTTCCTTAATTTCAAATCGCATCAGCAACCAATTTTCCTTTTTTTTTTTAACCTCAAATCAGCTTATTGAATTCGACTTGTAATACTGATTAATATTATTTGTTTGGCCAATACTATATATATTATTCAAAACTCAAAAAAGAAAATCACAAATTAAGACAAATTACGTCAAACTCGAACGTGAGAAATAATAACGATATACTTTTGTTTTAGATTTCTTTTTTTTTCCCGGATTGAGGTAAAAGGAATATTAGTTTTTTTATGAAATATTTTTTCACTCTATTCTATAATTTTCTGTTCAAAATAGAAAAGACTTTTTATTTTATCTTGAAAGTTTTCACTAGGAACACCGGGTATCCAAGAGTTCTTTTGAATTCAAAACTACCTCAAAAGTTTCCAAATCATAGTAGTGTTGCCACAACCATTATCCAAGTTAATTTTGACTGTTATGTTAAGTTGGCAGATCCACTTGTCATCCATGTTTTTTTTTTTTTGGATTCAAACGTAAATCTGCTTAGAAAGTTTTTACTCATGAGCATTGGGCATTTGAAACTTTTCGAATTGTAGTAATGTCACCCCAACCATTATCTTTGTTGAGTTTAACCATTAGTTTACCAAATATGCTTAAAAAAACTTTCAAGGCAAATTTACACCTCATGAAGTCACACAAGAACTGCCAACTTAGTAGATTTGGTCAGCTAACATGAGATATAAGAACGATACACTTCTATTTTAGATTTCATCTTTTTTTCGATTGAGATAAAAAGAATATTAGTTTGTTTCTGAAATATTTTTTTCACTCTATTTTCTATTGGGTATCAAAATAGAAAAGGCCTTTTACTTTATTATTTTATTCATATTAAGATAAAAATGTGTCTTGAAAGTTTTCACTGAGAGCATCGAATATCCATGAATTCTTTTGGGTTTAATGCTACCCCAAAAGTTTTCAAATCGTAGCAATATGGTCACAACCACTATTCAAGTTAATTTTGACTGTTAACTGACCAGATATATTAAATTGGTAGATCCACTTGTCATCCATGTTATTTTCTTTTTGTTTTATTAAAATGTAAATCTGCCCAAAAGTTTTCACTCACAAGCGTTAGGCACCAGAAAGTTTTCAACTTGTAGCAATATCACCTCAACCATTATCTATGCTGAGTTTGACCATAAATTTACCAAATATGCTCAAAAATTTTCAAGGTAAATTCACACCTCAATCCTTAAAAAAAAGTGAAGTGACCCATGGACTGCAAACTAAGTGGATTTGGTCAACTAACAATCAAATTTAACTTAAATAATGGTTAGGACGATATTACTACAGTTTGAAAACTTATCAAGCGTTATTGTACCCAAAAAAACCTTTTTAAATACCCAACATTCTTGAGTGAAAACTTGTGACCATAAGTTTTCGCATTACCCGATTTTCCTCCAACAATCGTATCCTTGATCATAAAAGACGTTATGCGAACATATGCCCTGTTTATTAAACCACAAGGATATAGGATATGAAATGTGATTAATCTATATCTTCAAAAATATTCTAAACTTATTCATATATTATTTTATTTATTTTCTCCAACAAGATTAAAGAATAAGCTTTGCTTTTCTTGCCCAAAATAAAACAGAGAGAATAAACCTTGCTATGTATCGACTACTATCCCTACTAATTAATATTAGTTTGCATATCAAATTAATTTAAATTATAAAATTCATAAGCAGATCACAAAGTATAAAAAGTTGAAATATATTACACAAGTAGTGATTGATGATACATAATAAGGATTGTAAGAACCAAATCCAATCATTATTCATACATAACACTGATTTGTCAATAATTATAAGCTATATATCGACTACTGCCCCTTCTTGTACATGGATTTTTACTATTGAAATTTAAAGTAAAATATGTAAGAAAAATTCAAAATAACATATATAAAATATATTCAATCCAGATAATACAAAATGAATCCTCTTATAAAACATACAGTGGAAGACTTTAATATTAGAGTTATCTCTCACCATAGCTATTGTTTAATTAATCTGAGGGCTACAAGATAGATTAGAGTCAGAAGAAAATTGATTCAGGTCTCTTCTGACTGGTAGATAGGCATAGTGATGGCAACCGAGTTCAGCCGTCACCAGTCAGGAAACCTCAGGGAGCAGATATGGCTTTCTGTTTCTGAATGTATCGCTCTGTTAACTTTCAGCCGTTAAAACCTAATAATTAAATTCTCACCATCAGAGAAATATAATTTTGACTGAAAATAAAAACCCTACTGGGCTTGGGCCTTATCTGACCACAGGCCACTCTCAGGACATTTTATTAATTCCTAATTAAATAGCTAAATAATTAATGATAATAATAAAATATCTCACATTCTCCCACTTTGCTCGTGTACTGTATCTCAATTGCCCTATCCCAGATAAGCTAAGGCTATACTGCAAGAATCATGGTGACAAGTCCC